TGGCCCACAGCATGGCTATCAGACCATGCAGTTTACCTAAACACTGGGTAGATTGGGATTAACACTGATTATTAAAATTGTTCCATATGGGCCATAATGGAAATAATAACTGTCAGGTATGGAGAGGAGGCACCTCTGGGATGAAGCACATACTCAGCAAGCAGAGCTGCAAAGGGACATTTTTCAATTTACCCTTGATGTACAAGCAGACCTGGCTTCTCAAGTAATTTCGATGCTTTTCAAGGGGCCTTTACTCCCAGAGACCTTGGCAAAGAACCACTCTTTAGAGCATCAGATGTGCAAGGTGTTACAAATTGGCAGATGCTAATCTGGTCTTAAAAATAAAGGAATTAATTTAGCAGAAAATAAATACCAAAGTTAAAATATACTGGTGAAAACTTCGAGTATCTGGTGACAGATCTGGTGACTCTGTCTGAGGTCAGAAAGGCCACTTAAAGACAGTAAGGTAAGTAAGTGGTGGAAGCCACTCATATGAAAAAACCTTCAGAAAAGTCATTCCAGCCCTGAAGGGCATACTCATAGCTGGCAAAACGTGAAATGAGGATTAGGAATGCAGAGAGAAAATTTGAAATGCAATTAGTCAAAGACATAACAAACAAGTCACCAGAAATTCCTGGCGATGAGTGCTGCCTCCAGGAACACTGTGAACACAGACATCTCACAAAGGACGTCCGGCTGGATCTCGCCCAGAGGACAGGGCTAGCAGGGCTGCTCCTCCTCTCACCTCCACATTGGAGAGCACTTTTGTACAGGTGAGCAGGAACAGCTCACATCCCACCTACTCCCAACCACAGCAAGGGAAAGGAGGTGCCTTCTCCTGCTGCATGGGGCAGGATGCTGAGGAGAAGCCGGCCCATCACTGCTTACAATGGAGATACATTCTCCAAGACAGTAATTCCAGAAAGATGGCTCCAGAAAATACCTTGATAAAAATTACAGATTAATTCAAAAAGTAGCTGAGATGCTTGTAATCATAATAAAAAGGGGATCGCACATTAAACCCGTTAGCTTCCAGACTGAAGGGGAACAAATGTTGCCCTGTTTTTAAGAAAAATCTAGAGTAATTTAGGAAATTATAGTCCTGCAAGCTTTTATTCTGTATCAACTAAATTAGTTGAGACAATAATTACAGACAGTACTAAAAATTGTCTAGCTAAATGTGATATGACTGAAAAAAGCCAACAGGGATTTTGAGAGGAAAAAAAATCATTCTTCACCAGTCCACTAAAATACTCTGAGCATGTTAATGCAATGGTCAATAGAAGAGAAAAGAATATTTATTGGGACTTTCAAGTGGCTTTCAATAAATTCCCTCACAAAGAGTGAAAAGAAAACTGAGTAATTATTGGAGAGGATGCAAGAACATTGCTTGCTCATTTTATCCCATTCCCAGCTCAGAATTCCCTCCCTGCAACACCAAGCCCAGCACCACAGCAGTGGGGGACTCTCTAGTTAGGGCAAGACTGCAACATTTAGCGATGATTTTACCACAGCTTCGTTTCAACCTGCTCTGAGCTCTTTCAGACGAGATGATATTGCAGAAGCCATGTCTACGTTAGCACCTGCAATGTTGTTACTTCCACTGAGGCTGAACTAGCACTGGAAACACTGAGAAATGTGATGAAAAGGGAAACAGGTCCAGGTAGCGCCCACAAGGCAGAAGGGGCTCT